TTTAGTAGGACCTTATCATGAGTTGATATCGAGTCAGGACTTCATGGGGAGAACACCTTCAGGTCTTCATATTGCAAAGACAGTATTCGGGCCTACCTTATACGGTAAGGGGATGCTTAGAGAGAAAACATACTATGAGATGACGGCAATTGTGAATGACTGCAGTCCATCTCTGTAAGGCAACAACCGCCCAAAAGAAGCAAGTAGGCTCAGCTTACCAAGAGAAAATTATGCAGTCAAAGCGTCTGTTGAACACTTCATGAGCAAAAATTTAACGAAAAGAAGACTAAGAAGCCCTTAAGCGTCAGCGCAAAACAGAAGCAGGAATCGGTCTCGCATAGTCCACATAAAAACTCAACTCACCCCAGGAAACTCAACGTATGCCAATGAGCCACACAGCAACAAATTATATCACCAAAGTCTAATGCATGCACGGAGTAATTGCAAAGGAACCTTGGAACATCACAAGGAGCGCCCTCCCTGTCACCTTTTTCTGACTGCAGTAATCCATTCAGCAAGCCCAGTGTTCGTTCTGTTCATCTTGACGATAGAATGATCAACTTAAGGCTTAGGCCTTTTCTTCCTTTCCTTTTCTTCCTTTTCTCATCTTCGCAACCCGTAGTGCACCCATATCTCAATAATAATCTTGATTTGTCAGTCAAAAAAATAAAAGCAAAAAAAAACTTGCTCAGCGTTACCTACTGTTGCTTATCTACCAAGTTAAGCCTATCATGACAACTATTTACAATATTGTGTTGAGCACCAATGCTCAACAGCTGTTTAACCACCCGCCACTCACATTTTTAGCTACACACGGAGTTCCAGCCATTCTTGTGAAGCAATTTAAATATCAAAAATACCAGCTAGTTATTCTTGCGGCACCCCCGAGCCAGCTCATTCGTAAATAGATTAAAGGGATTGAGTCCGATGGTGTACACACCTGCCTTTGTAGGGCTGCGGTCTCGTAATGGGTTACCTTCGAGATACTAGCATGGTTTACTTTGATTGATTGCTGTAATGCTGCTCTCTATTCATCTATACTCAAGAAACGGCGAGATGCTAAAGCTACACTTGATCTTGCTCCACTATAAATAACTGTTTACAGTTATTATATTTCCAAACCTTTGAGGTTCTCACGATATAATCTTTGAGCATATGCTACATGAATAATATGGCTGATACATCAATATAATTATGGAATGAGACCCAATGTCTACCCGCTGCTCAAATCCACATTAATCGTCTCAACTGAAGCCCGTACACAACCACTGCAGCTACGATGCGACTGCACTCAACACCATCAAGAAAACCACCTGCCGTGCTGCCATTTGTAGATATGAATTGTCATCTCTTCATATATATGCCCTTTTAAGCCCCCACTGAACTGTAAACTCCGTTGCCGCCGGAGTATCGTCGTCTACGGCGACGATCCCCTGTAACTTTATCGTCGTCTCACCGTCTCTCCCTGACTGAACCCACGCCCCTTAATTGTGCTGGGTCAAGCAAACAAGCGGGTCCGCACTCCTTCATATAACAGCGTCACGAGCAAGATGTGAGTTACCTGTCTCATAAAGTATTTATTACCATTATTCTGTGTCTTACTAGCGGGAACGACCGCACTTACTATATTATTGTGTTACATTTACTCCGATATCACCGGAGCATTTATAAATATCTATTGAACCACCTGCACATGGATGATGCTGAATGTGTGGTCCTAGTGCAAATAGGGCAACCTGTATTGCCTCGACACTCGCCTGACACATCATCGGTTGGTAGGCGTGGACGTCGGCGAATCCGGTAATAGAGCTCATATAGAGCCCTATCTATCGTGTTTTTCTTCCTTGGTGTCACTGGGTAATTCTAGCAGGAAATCGTATAAACACTTTTTTATCGTGAACAGTGCCTTTAAAAAATAGACTCAAACTTGGAGGTATCACTTGAATAAGGGATCCTTCAGAAGGCTAGCAATGGTCTCACAAATCGCCAAGCGCAACTGAAGGCATATAAAAAACTCACACGTAGCCAAAATCATGAGAATTGCCGGAACACCAAAAGCCAGTGGATAGCACGAATCCTGACCGAGGCACGGCTGAGCTAAATCGATTTTTCTCTGCCACACAAAAGCACATGTGGCAAACCTGCAGTTCATACAAAATTCAAGGTGAAATCGTGTCCCAATAAGTTCGGCTCATCAGAAAAAAATCCAGAGAAACAGATGCGCAGAGCGCGGAGCACCACGTGAAATTGAAGGCGTGAAAGAGCAAAGGCAAAAACTCCCCTTGATTCCTCAAGCCATAAAATAGGTGAAACAATGGCCGTTTTTGACATTTATACTGGGCCTACAAAAGGCAAGAGGAAATCAGCTGTATCATAGCCCAGACAGCAATGCCTGCTCGTCACCAAAATAGGGCAGTTGGACTAGACGTGGCTTGGAAAGTTCTAATTTCCAGGTCATCTTGAATATGGTTGTTTGAGAACTGGACCTTCGTACCTCTCTGTTTCTCCCTTCGTTTGTTTGTTTGTTTGTTTGCTTGTGAGTTTCTTGACTTGCTCCTTTTTTCTTTCATTCATTTCTTTCTTTCTTTCTTTCATTCCTTCTTTCTTTCTTTCTTTCTTTCTTTCATTCATTCTTTCATTCGTTTCTTTCTTTCTTTCTTTCTTTCTTTCTT